ATTCCCATGATATTTCAGAAAATTTGGAAATAATTAACTTTAATATTTCTGGCAATTTCAGGTAGTTTTTCATTCCACAAGTTAAAACTCCTTTCAAGAATAATGCCTTGCAAAGTTTAAGCATGGATAATAAATCTTTATGTACAATGTGGTTTAAATCAATAAATTGGCCTTACCTTTAACACGTTTCCAAAAGAAGAGCATTAGCACAAATAAAACCCACATTTTCATATTTGGGAAGGTTTTGAATGAGGTTTCATCTGTTTCTTTTGCTCAAATGTTCAAAAAATAAGGCCTGTGATATGTGAAATAGCACATCAGGGGAAAACAAAACTAAAAAAACTTGTAGAAAAATGCTCAATGCATGCAGCACACTTCTTTGTACTAAATATCAAAATGATAAAAGTAAGTACTATAAAGCATAATGAAAGAAGCAAAAAAAAATAAATGGCTAAGATGATCCTTTATTATGCTATAATAATGCACATATGCACCAATTAATTTACAAATTTCAAACTATCTACATATGCCTATGTTTTTATATTGTTAGAATTTATATTGTTTTTATTTATCTCACTAAGATGAATGGGAATCCCTAGAAATAAGAAAAAAGGGAAACAACCCTTCATTAAAATTATCTCATGAGCAACATTTTCAGTCTTAAAGTGTAATACTGGAAAACTGTGCTACCACAGATGAAGCAGAATACTCACAAGTCTTGTCTCCAATGAAAGCATACTTAAGATGACCCACATTTGAAAAGTCAAATTTTGTATGTATCATAAGGCTAATGATGTCCTAGAATTTAAACTTATTTTAGAGAACAGCTAGTCAAGATGTTAAATAATATTAATTCCTACATGTACTAATGAACTCACTTAAGAAAAAAAATACCTAGTATCAGAAATAGCTATTTGCTATAATACCTCAAGTTTAAAATATGGGGAAATGAAGAAAAGCAGCAGCAAAATTAACATGTCTTCAGATGAAGACTTGAAAAAAAATGAGTTAAAAACTTTCAAAAAATAACAATTAAAAAAAAAAGATGTAAGGTAAAACCAAGGTGAGGATCCCATTACAAAATAAACAGATTTCTGGAAAATCCACTGAAAGCAGTAACAAAAAAGGAAAACAAAGTTAAGGTAGATGCCTAACTTCTCTGCTGCAATTAACTTCTTATAAAGTTAATCTACCATAACTTATTACTCAAATTTCTTAAATATTAACTATTTAGAATCATATATAAGGAAAATGTAAAACTAAAAGTCTGTATTTGTGGACTTCAGTCCACAATGCATCAGTTGAAGTATTTAGCGAGAAATATATCTGTACAGAGCCCTGCTGGCACAGTGGTTGAGAGCTACAGCTGCTAACCAAAAGGTCGGCAGTTCGAATCCACCAGCTGTTCCTTGGAAACCCTATAGGGCAGTTCTGCTCTGTCCTGTAGGGTCACTATGAGTCGGAATCGACTCGATGGCAACGGGTTTGATCTTTTTGGTTTTATACTAATATCTGCAATTTATTTTGAAACACATCTAAAACCAAGATGGGCTGATAGAAAAATAAGTGATAAATCAGTATAGAAATTATTAATGGCAGAACCTAGGTGATAAGTATATGGGTTTCACTGTAAAATTCTTTCAACTTTGCTGTATTTTTAAGACATTTCTTAATAAAATGGCAGGGGGAAAATTTATACCCGCAAGTGCATATACTAACTTGGGCCACTAACAAATCTAATTTAATAATTTTGTTACTTACTTTCCTCTATAACATACCAGAATTTAACATTTTCTTTGGGTTGCACAAGGTAATAGATTTGACTTATATAATCAACATACATTCAAAACTGTATTTCAAACAGTATGAAATAAGTCTGACTTGATTTCATCAGAATATTTACTTTTTATTCCATGTAAGAGAGCTATATAGGTCTGACTCAATACCAACTCAAAATAAATGCCTCATTTATCTACTTCTAAGACCATATATACTATAAAAGATTAGCTGAAAGAAATGTCTGGCATTGAGTATCCTTATCATCCCTCTGAACAAAGAGGAAAACTGAAATGGAAGGAGAAAAGTATTAACTTACTTGAGAAAGGCAAAATTTCTTGAGTAGCTCAAGTTACCCAGTTCAAAAATTTATCTGTATCCAAATTTTAATTTTTAAAATCCTAAAACATATACTTTTCCCTAGAACACTTCAACTTCCAAAAACCAAAAGCTGCCCTCACACCTCAGAAACCAGTTATAACCAGATCAAGCCTCGGGCTTTTACCACCTGCCTCATCACTGGACACTCAAGCCTAAGCCATCACCTATTACCTGACAGGATGAAAAATCAAAGTCACTGTCTGAGATACCGTTTCAAAGGCATTTATATTTTATGAAAAGCAGGCAGTATAGATTACAGTTGCCAAGAATCATTTTGAACAAAGTCACCTCAAAATTAGAAAATAGGGCAAATACAACTTTGAAACTACAATTTAAATCCCTAGAAAGAAATTCTATAAATATTAAGCTCACAGTGCTCTCTATACTATTCCTTAGACTTCTTACGATTTTAAGACAAATGCATGATCTTTTATTTAGGATAAATATAGGAATTTCCACTTTTAAATGGTTTGGTTTATTCAAAGAAAAACGTTGCAAGTTACTGTTACTAGTTAAAATAGATCATATGACTAGAAATGCCTGATACTCCTCTTTGTCAAAGATGCTTACAAAACTTGAAAATACTTACTACAGAAGCACTTAGACCATCCCAGAAAAATGTAATTAAAAAGTCAATTGGGAAAAGCCCAGCAAGCTTCTCGTTCAAAAGAAAAAGGCAGTATACGTATTTATTTTGGGGGAAAAAAATCTGTTGTTTGTGGAAAAGCCTTATAAATGCTTCACTTTGTTCTTATTTATCCTTAGATAATGTTGTGAAATCTGTTCCTTAACAAGAACGGCATAGGAAATAAGTCAGTCTCTTTTCTTCCTTTTTCCTTCTATAGTTCATTTGCATATAAGATTTTACTCAACTTATTAAACCCATATATGATATACTGGATGTAAATATATATACAGGCTACGATAGGCAATCGTCAATTCACATTGGGAACAAAGCAGATTTATCCAAATGTGACAACATCCCCCCACTTTTCTGGATCATACATATCCTATATAAAGCCACTTGGTTTCTAATATTATGCACACCACATTCCATTTTTATTATAGCATTCATCTACAAGAAACAAAAGGAAAACAACTCAAAACTATGTTAGTAATTAGTTCTTGTTTGGTCCATTGTATGAAATCAGGAAGTAAAGGACTTAATTAGTTGCTACCAAACTGAAGCAATGAAAAAGGTTAAAAATCAAAGTATTTAAAATAAAAATATGGAATTATCCCCCCCCAGTACTAAAGGGACACAAGACAACAACTACTGTCCCACCAAGCAAAAGTGGAAAACAAACAGAGAGCATGTGTGTAACCTCACTTACCATCTTTTTGTTATTCTACTTCAACAGGTCAAGAAAGGTGAAGAGAGAGAAGGTAGAAGTAAGAGTCAGAAAAGGCCTAAATAAAATCCTCACTGAAATTTTGAAACATACAAGCAATAGAGACAAATTAGGTAGAGGTCAGATGCAGTACTACTATTATTTTACGGAGTTAATAATTAGGGCCAAATTAACACGGACAGTTATTACTCCGGAATGAAAATGAACTCATTAAACAATTTGTAAAATTCCACCTGTTTTGGTCTACCGCCATATTTTAGCTAACAAGATAGAAAAAGTATAAGTCGTCCACTAGGCATAGGAATTCCAAAAAGTCAAGTTTCTTGAATCCGTTACTGAATTTAAGAACTTTAATTAAGGAAAATACAACAGAAAAAGTCTAGCTGGGTTGGCTGAGAGTTAGATAGTTCAGGGTTGTTTTCTTCCCCCCAAGTTCTAGTACTCAAATTAAATTTTATACAGGTCCCTTTTACTGTTTTTAATTGGAAGAACAATATAATTTAAAAGGCTTAACGACTGAGCAGACTCAACAGAGCTGAGCCAACAGAACACAGAATGACAAACCATACAAGCAAATGCTACTGGGGAGTTCCTTGGCAAAAATGTCTTATTAGAAAGTCTGACTTCTATCAGTTGGCCTTAAAAAGCAGGAACGCGAGAGTGAAGCAATGTGTAATTATTTGTGCCTATGCTGGAGAATAAAAATGGCTATACATGATTTATCTTAATATCTCAAAAATTTTACTGCCTGTAAAGTATATAAAAAAGGAACCCTTCTTTAAAAACCTGTCACTGAATAAAAAGTATTACCTTCAACTTCATTAAAACGTAGTTTATCCTTATCACTATCATTAGCTAAATTTAAATCAAAGTTCATTTAAGATTGAATTTAATGAGAATGAAAGGAGTTCACAAAAGGAGAATCATAAATCTCCGAATAGAAAAGACCTTAAAAAAATAAGAACTCATATTAAGTGTCCCATTTGATTTTTTGGTAACATAATAAAACAGAGGTCAGAATAATTCACTATTTTAAGTCTTCAAAAAATTCACACAGAAGCTAAGTTTCAGTTTATATTTTTATTCACTGTGTAATTCAATTCTCTACGCTCAACAGCAGAGAGCTACCAAGTAGCAAATCTCTACTACCTATTACCACCTTCCTAGACATCTCAAACAAGTATCTGAAGAGGTAAACCCTAACTCGTTTCAAATGACTCATAGTCTTACAGTTCATGGAAGTCTTGCCAAAGACTGCCCAGACAGGACCAACAATGCTAGCTTGTTCACAAATAATTCACTAAGAGAACCTCTAAACTCTACTACTACAGTTGGTATAACCTGATCCCTAGGCCATTTGAAGAATTTAAGTCAACTGGTGACCCCTGCCATTTTGATTACTCTATTTCTTTCGTTCTTCTAAAGTAATGTAACTCCCACTTAATTTCTGATCCCTTTAACATGGGAGAAAAAATATATCATCCTTAATGCAGAGTCTCTGATGTCAGGTATAATGAGTCGGCAATGACAACCTTCCCTCCTCTCTCCTCATAGTAAGATATTGTGGAAGGCCAAATAAAGATTTGCATGGCTTCCTCCTGAACACGATGGAAACCAGTTACCATACTAGTGAAAAGAAGAACTACTGTAATTCACATCCTACATAAAAAATAAGGGGATCAGGCCATGAGAACATGCAAAGAAAAAGTCTAAGGTCTCAAAGAGACACTAACATATAATAACAAATGTATGGAATTGAAAGACAGAAAAATACCAGGCTGATTTTTTTTTTTAAATTATATTAAGCAACAGGACTTTAAGTCAGCATTTTATATTAACTTCAGTTTTTGTGCCCTTGTTCAAGTGTTGATATAAACTGAAAATATGAGACATTGTTCCCTCCCCTCTTGCTTCTTTTCATGGATCATATTTTATAACTACTCATTTAAAGAATACCTCACAGGTTTACATGCTCATTTATCAATTAAAAAAATATTACCTTGATTTCAATGTTTCCCACTTTGGTGGTTGATCTGATAATAGGTCTTCCAACCAAAGCTGGGAAGATGTGTTCTGGAAAGTTAGAGCCTGCATATCCACACTTTACAAACTGGAAAGAAACAGTAAAAGTGGGTTAGTGTCAAAGTATTTACTAGCTTACATGTCCATTTAAAAACAGTACCTGAAAAATACCACTTTGCATTTATACAATATTTAAAATTTTCAGGGCTTTCAAATCACCCAAAGTAGCCACTCTATCACATCACCTCCTTTCATTTCTTTATGGTAATGATCACTCCTAGAGGTTTTTTTTTTTTTTCATTTACTAGTTAACTGTTTATTTAGTGTCTAAGTCCCCCATTAGAGGGAAAGCCCCACAAGAGCAGGAAGCTAAGCTGAGCAGTTCATGCTGTAGCTGGATACATAGAAGAGGCCCTGGCATATAGTGGTCATTCAAGAAGTATTTGGGGGAATGGACAAACTCATTCAACAAATGCTAAGTATTCTTAAAAAGAGAAATGTTAGAAAATGAACAGACCAAAAGCTTCAATTCTAAAGCAAGCTTTTATTCATCTTAGGCAATTCACTTAACCAACCTCATTTTCCAAAATGGGAAAACCAAATGCCACTTGGACCAGCATCACATGAAAATAAACACTATTAGGTATATTTGGTTATTTACATTTTACTTAAATATTTAGATTAAGTAACATCAGTAATATAATTTCACATTCAGATAGTGTACTTCTCCAATGAAGGCATATCACGGACTCTGATAATACTTCCATGTTATGCATGAGAAAGTGATTTAATAGGGGTTTTAATGAATGCAACAGTAAAACTGAAATAGAATCAAGAGTTTTTAATTCTTATACCAATAATAGAATCTGTTTCACTTTATTTTAAAAAGCAGATATTACAAGAGAAAAGGCAATTAAAAACTCCAGGGTGAGGGACCAAAACCAAAACAATTGCTGAGTAGATTCTGACTCACAGCAACCCCATGTGTGCAGAGTAGAACTGTACTCCACAGGGTTTTCAAGGCTGGGGGCTTTTGGAAGCAGATCGTCAAGCCTTTCTTCCGTGGCATCTATAAGTGAGTCTGAACCACCAACCTGTCAGTTAGTAGTTAAGTCCTTAACCATTTGCATCACTCAGGGTGAGGGAAGGAAGCTACACAACAAAGGAAATGTCATCATCATCTCTACCCCATTTGTTGTTGTTGTTAATTGCCATTAAGTCAACTCCAATTCACAGTGACCCATATACAACAGAACGAAACATTGCCCGGTTCTGCGGCATCCTCACAATCATCAGCATGTTCGAGTCCAATGTTGCAGCTATTGTTCCAATTCATCTCACTGAGGGTCTCCTATACCCTTGTTCGCCCTCTACTTCACCAAACATAATGTCCCCCAGAGACTGATCTTTCCTGATGA